TTACCTGGGTAAAGGTGTCTGAGGGAAGGGGGGAATCTTTACGTGGCAAAGGTGTCTGAGGACAGGGGGGATCCTTATGTGGGCAAAGGTGTCTGAGGGAAGATGGGATCCTTACCTGGGCAAAGGTGTCTCAGTGCAGGTGGAAATCTTTACCTGGCAAAGGTGTCTGAGGGCAGAGGGGATCCTTACCTGGGCAAAGGCGTTTGAGGGAAGGTGGGAATCTTTACCTGGCAAAGGTGTCTGAGGGAAGGTGGGATCCTTAGCTGGGCAAAGGTGTTTGAGGACAGGGGGGATCCTTACCTGGGTAAAGGTGTCTGAGGGAAGTGGGGAATCCTTACCTGGCAAAGCTGTCTGAGGGAAGGTGGGACCCTCACCTGAGCAAACGTGTCTGCTGCCTCTTCCTGATGGAAGGGTTGGATTCAAAGACGTGTGGTCGCTTCCGCTTCTTCCCCGTTGCCACGGCAGCGGCTGCTGCCATCCCGACAGGGCCTGGAAATCCAACCACAACGGGGGAATCAGCTCAGGCAGCTCGGGAACTGGCCAGAAAGGACGTTGCCATTGTGTGGACGTGTCCCAAGGCTGCCCATGTGACACAAATTCCTTCCCCAGCTCTCCTCTCCAGCACCCCGGAGGTTCCATCCAAAGGCTCCGTTCCCCAAATCCCAGCTCGGTCCCAGGGAAGGTCACGTGTTCCAGTCTAAAGTTTTCCTCACAAACACATAATTCTGAATTTTATCTTCCAGACACGCTGAAAGAACGCCCCAAGACTTTAAATAAGTGGCTGAACTGAGGAGATCCCGGTGGCCTGGGAGAAGAGAGCTGGGCAAAACGCCAGGAATCCTGCTTGGACACCTCAACAGGAGCCTGAGGCTTTTCCCCAGGGATTAAGGATTGGTTGTAATGGGAAAAAAACTGAAAATCCTGAGTTCCTGGAAGTATCCTACAACAGGCCCCTGAAGACCACCCGGGCCTGAAAAGCCTGTGTGCTAGAAGGGAAGGGGGAAAGAAAAAATCCTGCAGGATGGGGGGCTGGAAAGTTCATAAGCAAGGGCACAGGATGGTCAGCGGGGTGGTGGAACCTGCCAGGGTTGGTCCAGCACATCAAGAGCTTTATTCACCCAGTGAAGTCCGACCCCAAACTCCGAGGGATTCCTTGACACTGCATTTTTCCACAGGAATGGTGGATCCACCACAAGGCCAGTGTGGAGGACATTTGGGTTCACTGGAAGGGATTTGGGATTCCCGAATACGTTCCCAGCCCGGCTATGCCAGGATCTTTTGTGGCATTTCCCTGGCAGAGGCCAAACCCGGGAGCTCCCGGCTCAGCCAGGCCTGGGTGATTTTTGCTGTTGTTTACGTGGGCCTGAAATCGTTCTGCTCTTGGACAGGTTGGGGATTTGAATTCTGTTAATTGAGGCAGAGTTTTACCAGGGAGCCTTTTTTATTGTCCAAACCAGCCTCGTATTCCCAGCACCTCCATGTTACACACAGGGAAACCATGGGAGATTCAGGGAGCACCCGGAATATTCCGAGGGATGGCATCAACCTCTGCCTAAAAATTGCTTCTTTTTTGCCAG